TAGTGTTGGACCAAAGTGAAAGGCCCGACACAGGTGTGTGTTGGGCTTCAGTAAAGCCCTCCTTGACTGCTAGGTGAGTCACCAAACCACCTAAAACTATCGGGATGTTAGTGCGTCTCCATTGGGTTTAATAGTGGTGAAAGTAGCTCCTTGTTTCCTAAGGTGAAGGGCGAATAGATGGGCTATGTTCATACAAAATCCCTCTTCATCATCCCCGTACCTCAAATAGCTACCCAAAATGGCTACCTCGTCCGCCCTAACATTGTTAGGTTCTATCCTCCCAAATATAGTCCACCCCGAGGAACGAGTCCAAAGCCTAAGGACGGGTTGGTGTATCTTATGGGCTCGGGCATGTTGCATAGATTCTATGTTTTCCCGCGTCATAGCCAACTACAATTCCCCCGAAGTAAAGTTATCCGGTTGAATATAATTAGTCCTGAAGATGGGAGGCCAAATTTTCTAGCAAAACCATCTAAGGTAAGGCGGTGGGATTTGTTCATCAACCTATAGACCACATGTGTAACTAGCCCATCCCTCTCCTTAACAACATCAAAGGAGCTCAAAAAAATTCAAGAGTTCTGTCTTCAAATGTATAGTGAATCATGTTGAATAATTGACACATACCAAGTTTAGCAAACAATGTTCTACATTCACCATCAATCCCTAGTTTAGACAGAAGAGAGCGATCAATAAAGCGAGTAGGGATTACCTTCCGATGTTGAAGCTCAAGTAAGCGCGTCTTTTGGTTCGGGAACTCGGCCATGAACCTAATGTTGGGGAAGGCGGGGATGCTCTCCAAGTCGAGTTGGGGTTGTTGAGGTGCTCCTCTTGTCCTGTTTCTTGAAGCCATTGTTGTTCTTTAAGCTTTCTCTCTCTAAACTAGAAGTTGGGGTTTTTGGTTGAGAAGTATGTATGAAGGTAAGAGAGATGGTTGTGGAGGTTGAGAATTGAATAGGGAAGATGAGGGATGAGGAAATTGAAAAATTTGAATGGAGTTTGTGGAGATTAGAGGAGGTGATGAAAGTTAGGGTTTGAGAATTGGGGATTTTTAGAGAGAGAAGGTGTGAGAGTAGTAGGGAGTATGAATGAGAAATAAGGATAAAGAAGGAGTTTATTTCGTGAAATAATAGCTGAAAGGTGGGATTTCGTGGCTACCCCTTCGCGCCCGATCGGGCTGGGCATGCCCGGTCTGATCGGGCGGAGAAGATCCTTTTTTTTTAAGAGGACAGAAAGGGTGGCCCCTCACGCCTGATTGGGCGGAGGGGGTTACTTTAGCTTCGAAACTTCTTCTTCTTTCAACTCTCGCGCCCGATCGGGCATGTGATTCCCGATCCTACCGGGCGGTAGGGGTTAGAATATGTTATTCGTATTCTCTCCTTCTTCTAATTCTCTTCTGATAAGTGCTACTTGCGCCCGATCGGGCGGGTCTTGCCTGGTCTGACTGGACAACGAGTTATTCTCCTATTTTATCAACCTTTGACGAATAATCTTGATATCCCGCGTCTTGCTTGACTCGGTGTTCTCTGAAAACCAACAAAACAAACACAAACATAAAACAAAAAGAGAAAATAAACATAAAAATAAAAATAAGGAAAACTAAGAAAAACGGGTTGCCTCTCGGAAGCGCTTGTTTATGAGGTCATTAGCTTGACCATCTTTTGCTCAATTGTCTTGTGATGGTGTCGAGAGTGTGATGTCCACTCTTTCATCAATTGGATCACCTACTCGATAGTGCTTCCCTCTTTGGCCATTCACCTTAAAAGTACTCCCATTTTTATTCCATAGTTCAATAGTGCCATAGGGATAGACTTTACAAACCTTGAATGGGCCCAACCACCTAGAACGAAGCTTACCGAAAAATAGTTTCAATCTTGAGTTGAGTAAAAGGACTTGATCTCCTTCTTTAAATTCTCTTCTCACAAGACCCTTATCATGCCACCTTTTGGTCTTTTCTTTGTACAACTTCGAACTTTCATAGGCTTCAAGACGGAGCTCGTCTAGATCATTTAATTGTAACAATCTCTTTTCACCTGTTGCTTGAGCATCAAAAATTAAACTTCTAATAGCCCAAAAAGCTCGGTGTTCAAGCTCGACAGGTAAGTGGCATGCCTTTCCATACACAAGCCTATATGGGGTTGTACCAATTGGCGTTTTAAAAGCCGTTCGGTATGCCCATAGTGCATCATCAATCTTGATCGACCAATCCTTCCTTGACTTTGCAACCGTTTTCTCCAAAATTGATTTTATTTCCCGGTTGGATACTTCTACTTGACCACTTGTTTGTGGGTGATAGCCAATGCCAAGTCTGTGTTGTACTCCATATTTTTTCAACATTGTTTAAATAGATGCTCCAAGAAGTGTGTTCCCCTGTCACTAATCAACACACGTGGTAAACCAAAACGAGGGAAAATAACTTTCTTGAAAAACTAACTTACCACACGAGCATCATTGGTTGGAGTAGCAATTGCTTCAACCCATTTTGAGACATAGTCAACGGCTACTAGAATATGCCGATTTCCATAGGAAGAAGGGAATGGTCCCATGAAGTCTATCCCCCACACATCAAACAACTCAACCTCGAGTATGTTGTTGAGTGGCATCTCATTCTTCCTAGAAATATTGCCCGTCCGTTGACATCGATCACATGCCTTAACATAGGAATATACGTCCTTGAACATAGTTGGCCAATAAAAACAACACTGCAAGATCTTTGCGGTTGTCTTCGAAGGACCTGCATGTCCACCACACGGTAAATCATGACAATGAGAAATAATATTAGTTACCTCATTCTTCGGTATGCATCGTCGGATTACAGTATCCGCACATTGCTTATACAGGAAAGGATCTCCCAGAAATGTCTCATTGCCTCATACGGGAATTTCTTCCTTTGTTAAGACGAGTAGCCGTGAGGCATTGTACCTGTGGGCAGAAAATTAGCCAAATCAGCATACCAAGGTGATTCAGTTTTCAACAGAGCTAATAAATGTTCAGTAGGGAAAGAATCATCAAAAGGGAGATCGTCTCCATGCATCCTCAAAATCGAGGAGAAGACGGTAGAGGTGATCTGCGACGACATTCTCAGTCCCCTTTGTATCCTTAATCTCTATATCATAGTCTTGTAGTTGAAGGATCCGACGAATCAACCGCGACTTGGCATGACTTTTGCTCATTTAAGTATCACAATGCTGCATGATCTGTATGAATTATTACTTTTGAGCCAACCAGGTAAGAATGAAATTTATCAATTGCATAAATTACAGCTAGCATCTCTTTTTCTGTTGTTGCATAATTCATTTGAGCAGAGCTAAGAGTTTTGCTAGAGTAATAAATAGCATGAAGCTTTTTGTCCTTTCGTTGCCCCAAAATGGCTCCTACCGCATAATCACTAGCATCACACATAATTTCAAACGGTAAGGTCTAATCCGGGGGTTGCATAACAGGAGCAGAGATCAAAGCTTCCTTCAACCTGTTAAAAGCCTCAAGACAAGCATTAGTGAAAATAAATGGAGCATCCTTAGCTAAAAGCTCAGTTAGAGGTGTATCAATTTTCGAAAAACCCTTAATGAAATGACGGTAAAAACATGCATGATCAAGGAAACTTCGAACTCCTTTTACAGAGTTCGGAGGGGGTAATCGCTCTATGACCTCTATTTTTACCTTATCAACTTTAATACCCTTATTTGACACAACATGACCTAAGACAATTCCCTGTTGAACCATAAAATGACATTTTTCCCAGTTTAAAATAAGATTGAATTCCTGGCATCTGTGGAGCACCTTTTTCAAATTTTCAAGACATGCATCGAAAGATGTTCCATAGATAGAAAAATCATCCATAAATACTTCCATAGAATTCTCCATGAGACTTGAAAAAATTGTCATCATACAACGTTGAAACGTGGCTGGGGCATTGCATAATCTAAATGGCATCCTGCGATATGCAAAAGTGCCATATGGACATGTGAATGTAGTCTTTTCCTGATCACAAGGACGAATAGGAATTTGGAAAAAACCAGAATATCCATCCACATAACAGAAAAAGGAATGCTTAGCCAAACGTTCAAGCATCTGATCAATAAAGGGTAGGGGGAAATGGTCCTTCCGGGTGGCCTTATTTAATTTTCTATGATCAATGCACATACGCCACCCTGTGACAGTCCTAGTGGCGACTGGCTCACCCTTGTCATTCTTGACAACGGTCATACCTACTTTTTTTGGTACTACTTGTACAGGGCTAACCCACTTACTATTTGTGATAGGGTAAATTATTCCTGCAGCAAGCAATTAAGAACCTATTTTTTCACTACCTCCATCATATTTGGATTAAGAAGTCTTTGAGGTTCTACAGAAGAGGCATGATCGTCCTCAAGGATGATTTTATGCATACAAAAAGAAGGATTAATACCCTTAATATCATCAATGGTGTACCCAATAACAGTTTTATATTTTCTTAAAACAGTGAGCAGTTGCTCTAATTTTGTGTCCTTGAGTTCAACATTAACAATAACAGGGTATGAATTATTAGGACCAAGATATGCATATTTAAGATTAGAGGGAAGGGGTTTCAACTCTACCTTGGGAGGCGTAGTACTCTCCCCAACACTCGCTGCACTAAGTACTTCTCTGATTGGAGTAGTGATTGGGTTGGCTTTTGCTTCCTCAAGTAGCCTTGTGTACTCCTTTGATTCCCAATCTTCATCATCATCGTTCCCCATTAGCACTGTTTCAAGTGCATCATCTGTTTTTCTCAAGGGGAGTTGCTCACTCTGTAGATCATCAAGGACATTCACTTGACAAACAGTTTCTCCCATAGAAGGTGCCCATAGCATTCAAAAGTGAATACTCCATTTTCTCGTCGCCAACCTCAAAGGTGATTTTTCCATTTTTCATATCAATAATTGCACTTGCAGTGGCTAAGAAAGGTCTACCAAGAATAATGGGAACATGTGCATCCTCCTCCATCTCCATCACAACAAAATCGCAGGGAATAAAGAATTTCCCTACGCGAAGAGGCACTCCTCAAGTACACCCAAAGGGAACTTAACCGACCTATATGCAAGTTGTAGAGATATGCGAGTAGGGTTAAGTTCACCCATTTGAAGCTTCTTACAAATGGAAAGTGGCATAAGACTTACACTTGCACCAAGATCACATAATGCCCTGTTAATTTCAATATCTCCAAGTTTAACTGGAATTGAATAGCTACCTGGATCGCCTAATTTCTTAGGAAGTGTGTTTTGCAAAATTGCACTACACTCTGCAGTCAAAGCAATTGTAGCATTCTCTTCTAGCTTTTTCTTATTAGAGAGCATATCCTTTAAAATTTTTTCATAAGAAGGCATCTCCGATATTGCATCTAAGAATTGAATATTAATATGAAGCTTTTTCAAAATATCCAAAAATTTTCCATACTTTTTCTCTAACTTGGATTTGGCTAACCTCTGTGGAAAAGGAACCTTTGGCACATATGGAACAAGAGGTGGTGGTGGAGTTGCTTCCTTTGGCTCTTCCTCGATCATCGGACTATCAATCACCTTCTCACCTTCGCCTACCCCTTCAACAACTTCCTTTGATGGCTCCTTGATAATTGGATTTTCTAATTGCTTTCCTTTCCTTAAGGTTACATCATTCATATGTCCTTTTTGTGGTTGCTCTGTCTGACCCGAAAAAGTGCCCAGTGTCTTTAAAGATTGGCCAACTTGATGAGCAAGTTGACTTATCTGATTTTCCATGAGCTTACTCTGGGCTTGTAACTGTTGTATGGAACTATTTTGTTGTTGGTTGGAATTGTTGGTTGTGGTGATAAAATTTTCTAACATTAGTTCAAGGTTGGATTTTTGAGGAGGTGGTTACATAGGTTGTTGGACTGGAGGTGGCCTTGGTTGGAAACCAGATGGTGTATTGTAGTTGTTGTTTCGAGGTGGTGGTGGAGGTGGATTTTGTTGGGCTTGGGTATTTTTGTAGGAGAAATTTGGGTGGTGCTTCCAACCTTCATTGTATGTGTTAGAATGGGGATCATATGGCCTTTTGGGATTGGAGGTGTAGAATGCATTGGCTTCCTTAATTGACATCTCACTGGAATTTTGTGGGAAATTAGGTGCAATGTGACCTTGCACGTTACACATTTGACAAATCTCTGGTGAACTAGTAGATGTTCCAGCTTGGAGTTTATCAAACTTGCTTGTCAATTCCTGCACAGAGCTAGTCAAAAGAGTTAGAGCATCAACATCTAATTTACCTCCCTTTTTCACATTATGTCGGCCTCCTAGATGATAGTTATCATTGGCCGCCATCTTCTCAATTAGCTCCTTTGCCTCAGTTGGGTTCTTTGTCAAGAGAGAACCCCCTGATGTAGCATCAATGTAGATTCGGAACTCATGGGTTAGGCCATTATAGAAGGTTTGAACCAACATCCATTCGGGAATACCATGGTGAGGGCATTGCCTCTGCAATCGCTTAAACCTCCTCCATACCTCATAAAGGGACTCATCATCTGACTGCCTGAAGGTAGATAGTTCGTTCCTTAACCTTGAAGTCTTTTCCTGTCCCAAGAACTTGACTAGGAAAGCTTTCACCAGCTTTTCCCATGTATCAAATGAACCAGTGCCTTCATCTCTCAACCATTCTTTCGCCTTATCCCGTAGTGAGAAAGGGAAAAGGCGAAGTCTGATAGCATCATCTGTAACACCATTCATTTTCATAGTATCACATTTCTCCAAGAAACTATCGATATGACTTACTGGGGCAATCATGTGGTGTGCCTGCAAATGAATCATTGGAGATGAATTGAATGAACTGTGGTTTCAATTCGAAGTGTTGAGCAGTGACAGGTGGTCTCACAATGCTAGAGAGGAGTCCGGTTGTCGTATTAGGAATACCGTACTCCAAAAGGGATTTCGTGCCGTCTTCCATGTTTCTATTGTTTTGATTTATCACTCTTCTTCTACCTCTTCGTCTCCTTACAGTTGCTTCAATTTCAGAATCAAAAGGTGCTAAATCGTCTGACCCTACACGTCGTCTTTGCATGCAACAAAGAACTAAAAGGAGAATATCAAAAACACAAGAAACAATAGCCGAAGCAACGAATAAAGCTTAGTAAAAACGAATCACAAATAATCAGAAAGAAACCGTTAGTCCCCGGCAACGGCGCCAAAATTTGATAGGCGTGTCGCATACCTAACAAAAATAAAAGTAACGAGACCACTACTATGTAGACGGGCAAGTAAGGATCGAATCCCAAGAGACTAAGGTTCACCTAATTAAATAGACTCAATCACTAAACAGGTAACAAATCAATGGTGAATAATACTAAGAACTAATATATAAAGGACTCAATTAATCTAAGCAAAATGATAAATAAATGAACTAAAACATCCAAGATCAAGCATTACCACGAATATAATCAATGCATAAATAAATCTACCCCCAATAACAATTCAATCGACAAGAGGAAAAGCATTCCCAAATCAATACCAAAGGTCTCTCTCGAGTTATCAATGGCTTCCCAAATCAACTATCAAACATATTTCCATGGAATCAAGCAAATAAGGGACATTAAACACAATACTTAACTTCCTAATCATTCAATCATCTACTTCCGTGATGACCTTCAAACCCTTAATTGAAATACCCAAATCCTGTTAATATTCAACTTCCGTTGCAATAAGAACAAAGGGATGATAACAATACCAATTATGCCTAATCTAGTATTGGCATAAACTCAATCAATCAAGCATGTCAATTGGAAATATTTTTTGAGAAATTAAAGATTAAATCTAAGCATTAATCATATCCGGGCTTTGCAAGATCCCGGATTATGAATCTACTCACACATAATAGCAAAACCAATAACAAGAATTAATAGAGAAAACATAATCAATAAGCAATAATATATGAAAGAGAAGTGAGATAGATGAATACCAAAATTGCTTCAATTGAAAGAACTCAAATTGTTGATGAACAATAATCAAACTAAGAGAGGAATTAAAATGCTTCAAGAAAGTAAAACTAGGGTTCTTAGAGAAAACTAATGCTAGAGGATAAAATAAAGTGTATTCTAATTGTGATTACAAAGGGTATTTATACCCCCAAAAAGATAAAATTACGAAGTTAAATAAACCGGATTCCGCATAGCAGTGCCTGGTCCAACCGGGCAAGAAGTGCCCGATTGGGCGGCTGGGATACGGTGTTGCCTTGCCTTCGCTAATCTTCAGCCTTCTTGTGCCCGGTCCCACCGGGCAAGGGGTACCCGATCGGGCGCGCGAGGCGTCTTCAAAAGCTGATTTCATTGTTAACTTCTACTCTTCAGTGCTCGGTCCAACCCGGCAAGCTATGCCCAACCGGACACTTAAATGCTGCAACATATACTTCATACTTTTCATAGCTGACTTTGTCCTTCTTTGCCCTGATTGACCGGGCAAGCCATGACCAACAGGGCACAGGGGAAATATTCCTCTTCACTCACTAACATCCTCTATAAACATCCAAAACACGTCCGATTCATCCATTAAGCTCCGTATTCCTATGAAACTCAATAAAAATACATCGAACACACTAGAGAAAAGATTGTTAGCGAGAAATGGCTCCATAGAGCCTGAAACCATGTAAATATACATTGTAAAACCGAGATAAAACATGGTGTAAAACTCATACATCAATCTGATTCCCGGAGTTACCGGTGGAATATTACGACAAGGAGGCGCTCTACAAAATAGCAGAGGTGGTAGGGAAGCTAATGCAAATTGATTATCAACTGATAAAATTAATAAGTGTCGATATGCTAGAGTTTGCATTGAGTTGCAGCTCAACAAACCTTTGGTGACAAAGGTGTGGGTCGGAAGGGCATGACAAAGAATAAAATATCAGAAAATTCATAGTATGTGCTTTGAGTGTGGAAGGATAGGGCACAAGAAGGAGCATTGTAGTTGGAGGAAGCCAAAGGGTATATAGGATAGTGACAAAATTAAAGATGTTTCTAGGAGCACTATGGAGATAGTGTATGAAGGGAGTGGTTCTGCTCATGCAAAAGATATGTTGGAGGTGCTGGAGAGTAGAATTAGTAGTGAAGAAAGTAGTAAGCTATAGGAGAAAAAGAGTGTAGGGGTGGACCAAGATAACAAAAAAGAAGAATATGGACCTTGGATTTTAGCTATCTCAAGAAAAAGAATAAACAAAAGAGGTGAAAATAATACAAAAGAGGTGGGGCCAGAGGGCAATCAGAAAATATTTAACAAAAAGGGTAAACAACATAAGGAACAAAGCAGTCGTCAAGTAAATAATAAAAATTTAGAGCGTGCTAGAGGTGAAAACGAGGGCCGAATGGAATTTAATGCAATTGAACAATTGCATAGGGATAAAACAATCCAAAGCAAAAAGCTTCAAGATATTAGCAACCCAGAGAAAACATCTTCATTGGGAAGAAGCAGCAATAAAAATTTAACTGTTCCTAGATTCAATTCTCCAGAAAAACTTAATAATGAAGACTCTTTGAATTCTGCTGCTACTACCGGTATTAATATCGAAAATTCTACTTTTCCGATCACCAACAATCAAACCTCTCTTAACCCTTCTTCATCCTCTATTTGTTCTGATCTTATCAACAACAATGAATCCCTCGGAAAATCAGCCCAATCGGAGATGCCGCTTCAATCCAATTCCACTCACGGATATGCAGCTAAGGAAATCCACCACCACAGCTTCACCATCCCCAGTCTCAAACAAAGTTTCAACCCACTCATCCTTTTCCAAATTCCCCTTCACCTTTAGTAACTTCGACAATTTTACCTCCATCGCCACCACCTTCCCGGTCCCTAGTACCATTGTCGCTGTCTAGAACTCTACCCACTTCACCACCGCTAACACACCACCTCTTCCCAACTTGCCAACACAAAACGCCCATTACCAACAGAAAATTTAAACACAATCAAAACAGGATTGAAAATCATGAGGGATCAATTTATCCACCTAGCCATGCCAGACTATGAAACAATGTTTCTACCCTTAGAACCCTCTATGAGAGACCCCTCCCCCTCGATGTTCCCCCTTTGAATAGAAAGCAACTTTCTAAATCTAATGGAGCCGCAACATTTAATGGTGACATTGGAAACGACGAAGGAAATAGTTGGGTTCGAGTTGAAGATCAGTCATGTTCCGACCGGGAATTTGATTCCAGAAATCAAAATGGTAGCAATGCCGATGTCTATGGAGAATGTATGGGCACTAGGGAGGTTGCACCAATAGGAGAAGTGGATGAATCTAACACCATCCATGAATCATCATAAGCAACAACTTTTGGGTGTTTTCCCGAATTTACCCTTTCCTACTGTCAATATGAAGGTAATTCTTTGGAATGTAAGGGGTGCAACTAACAAGGAATTTATTTCGCATGCAATAGAGGTGGTGCGAATGCATAATCCTGATATTTTCATTCTTCTTGAAACTAAGACGAATGATTGAAAAAGTGGCAAATAAAACTTATAAAAAGCTGGGTTTCAATGAGTATAGAATCATAGCGGGTAATGGCGTTAGAGGAGGTATTTGGACGATGTGGAAAAAGCCGGCTGTTATGGTGGAGCATGTGGCCAATCCTAATGTCTTTCACTCCCTTTTTAAGCTTACTCCTATGGAGCCGAAGGTCTTAATCACCGGTATTCATGCTCCTTCTTCTTCTCATGATCAGAGTGCTCTATGGAAGGATTTACAAGTGAATGTTCCTCCCTCCTCTACCCCATTGTTAGTCATGAGAGATATAAACGAGGTCCTAACCCAAAAGGAGAAAATGGGTGACGGACCTTTAACAATTTCTCAAGGCAAGTGTTTCTCTGAGTGGACCGAATCAGCGGGGCTCATTGACCTTAGCTTGGTTTCAATGGTCCGAAGTTCACTTGGGATAATGGAAGTCACGGGATAAATTTGATCAGAGAGAAATTGGATAGAGCTTTGTCTAATGCTGAGTGGATGAGAGCCTTTCCCAATACTCAGGTATATCATCTTCCAAAAACATATTCTGATCATTGTCCGATTATGATTTCTACTTGCTCTTTGATTTCTAATTGTAATTTTCCTTTTCGATGTAAGGAGTCTTAGTTAGATAATTCCTGTTTTGAGAATTTTTTTGCCGATTCTTGGGGTAGGGGGAATAATATTTTTGATAGGTCCAGGGACTGTTTTGTTAATGATGTGAAGGTGTGGAATAAAAAGGTTTTTAATAAATCTATCATTAATAAAAATAGGTTAATTGCTCGCATCCATGGGATTCAAAATGCTCTTTGTAATGGTTTTAACCTTTTTCTGGTCAATTTAGAAAGGGTTCTAATTCAACAGCTTAACGATGTTATTAAAATGGAAAGAGTTAATATGGCTCAAAAGGCAAGTATTAATTGGCGGAAATTTGGTGACTGGAACACAAAGCATTTTCATATTCTTGCTAAGGTAAAAAATAGTAGGGTAAAAATCTTGTGTTTAAAAGATGACCAAGGGGAATGGGTTAATGACCAAGTTGTTCTTAAATCAATGTGTGTGAATTATTTTAAAACCATATTCACTTTAATTCAATCTTGTCAGCCTAGACTAGTGTCCTTCGTGCCTAATGCAGTGGTTTCTTGAGGATTATTCCTTCTTGGCTAGTGGGGTTAGTGAGTTGGAGATAAGAAATGCCCTTTATTCTATGGCTCCTATGAAATGTCCCAGCCCTGATGGCATTTAAGCTATCTTTTTACAAAGACAATGAAACATCGTTAGTACATCCATTATTAACCTTGTCTCTAATTGCTTTTTG